TATAGATTAAAACTAATTGCAACGTAAGTTGCAACATTAAAAGTTGCAACATATTAATTACAGTTCCCATCTTTACTTCAGACATTACAAAATAATTAAATGATCATTGTGTAATATTGTTTTTTTCTTTATAAGTAATATAAGAACTTTTAGGATAATCGCCTAATTCATATGTTTTGACTGCAGTTTTTATTTCAGTCTCAGTCATAATTATTAATCAAAATACAGATGTTTAATTATATTAAAATCAAATATATTAATTTGAAAAAATTGGGCCAAAAACTTTAACTTTTAAAATTAAAAAACATACTCTTGATTTTAATTGTAAATCGTGTTAAAAAAAATAAAACAAACAATCGCGAAACTATGATACAATTATTAACAATGATATCAAATGATCAACATCAAATAACTTGTCCTAATCCGTCTCACTATCAAAAATTCTGAGGTACTAAAATTTTATTTCGCAAATTAACCATACGTTATACAAAAAGTGATTCTCTCCCTTGAAATTTTGCCATAAGTTCAGAGATAACCTGAACCTGCACCATGATTACCCTCACGAGATAAAATACCAATTTGACTGACTACAATTAAAATAGGACCTAAATGAATAAAAATAAAATAAATTCTACTAACTCACGAAAAATCAAAACCCATAACAACAATTCTTGAATACTATATTAGACCCGTGAATTTTTTTGGTAATTCTTGCTTCTGAGTACCTTCCCATCCTTCTCTTTTTGCGTTGAGCAATCAAATTTTCTCTCGTGTAATGGACAAATAGCTGTATAATAATTATCCTATCATTACCAAAAAGTGACATTTTGAAATACAGATGATAAATTCGTGCATATACTTACTGCCCACTTTATTAAAGCTTCATACATAAAAACGAAATTTAGCATGTCTACCCAATCTTTTGGAAGACTAAAACTGTCCACTTCGAACAAACGATATGTTCCTGATGATCACATAAAATTGAATTAGTCTGGTTTTAGGCCATAGATGAAATTTCTAATATTACATACTACGAAAATCAAGCATTGTAAGAGAGAGTTCGGTTTTATAAGCCGTTGCACCAAATATTCGAAGGCCGGTATAGATTTGTCTTCGTTCTTTAGCTTCTGATACAATTATATGATTAAACAGTTGTATCACGCTTCTGATGTTCTTCTCATCGTCGTCAACATTTTTTTTCTTTCTTGCCCCCAGCTTTGCCCCTTCCATGCAAACAATTTGATAATTTGAAACATCGTTAAGAAATCCAACGCCATCCGCCATGACTTTTGTTTTTCCTTGTAATGAAATTTCACCACTAATGAAATTGTGAAAAAAAATGTAATTAATTAAGAAAATCAAAAAGAGAGGAGTAATAAACCTTACGATATATAATTAATCTTTGCAAAAATCCATAAAGCATTATCAATTAACGGATGTATAAATTGGTTGAGGTGAGGCCTTTCTAAAGTTGTAACATCTCTCAAAGGGTTCAACGCATCTAAAGAAAAGGCCTTTACACTATACGAGAAAGTTTATTAGTGATTTATCATGATTTTATAAATGGAATCATCTAAAACTTCTTACTTACAATTGCCCCAATGTTCCCTTAAGCAGTTCTTTTGTATCTTGCAGTAATTCTGAATCCTTTTCACAAATGGATATTCTCTGAGCCGATTCACACTATCCTTATTTGCCATGATCGGCATTAAAAAAGTCAGTAAGAAAGTTGTGGATTTCATCTGTTATATAATCCTAGTCTATTTTGTCGAAAACTTCATGTATAATGTTTTCTTGTAATTCTTGATCTAAAGAAAGTAGTGTTCCGCACGGATCGGATCGGATCGGATTTGGGCAAAATCCGATTTGATCCGAATCCGAAAAATCCGAAT